TTTTTAAATTTAAACTTTTTAATGATACCAAAACCAGCCAGATACAAATGGTATAGAGAAAGATATTATATTATAAGTACATACATACTATTTGCGAAGAGTTTTTCCCCAACCTAATAATATTTGTCTTAAACAATTTTAGTCAAAATTCACTATTCCACACCAACTCAGTGGGCAAGAACTAGGTGCATTTTTTTAATCAGTGGTTTCCCCAATAAGAATCCACTTCAGCAAAAGTTTGCGGCTTTTGACAAAAATATAAATATTAAATATTAGTTGTTATTCAGAAGATTCAGATTCAATATGCAATGATGGATGATGCTATAGACATGTTATAAGATTATAAAGTCACCGGTAACCGAGGCCCAATTTTTTAATGTTGACAACGCATTTCCAAACAATCTCTTGTTTTAGATGTACATGAACGACGGTACTCAGTGGCTATCAACATATCTGTTAAATACTACAACCTATATCGTGGATTAATATGCAGGTTTTGAAGATGTACGTATGAATCCTAAAGACCGTACTTCGCACTCCACCGTCCGGCGTGAAGAGTGTAGTTATACTTCTGCATTTCGTCTGGTGCATATGGTAAACTAGCGCACTTGTATGGCAGCATATTTGCAACCCAAAGGCCTCCTCCGAATAGAGGGTTTAGCACTATTAGGGAATAGTCCATCACGCGACCCCACTGTGAATCGGCGGACATCATATACATATATTCGAAATATTCTCTGGTCTCCTTATGTTTTCCTTCACCGCTGGGCACGTGAGTGAATACGCTTTTAATTTAGATGATTGATGTTGGATTGCTGCCGTCTTGTAGCAGGCCTGCTGCGGGATATAGCAAGCAGCACAGAAACCGTGTTCAAGACAAAACGTCTAAACAAAAAATAAATATATAACAAGACTTGGCTAGATGCAGGCTATACTCTAAAAACTATGCTTGTGTAGGGACGCGTGTAGTTTGGCGCGTCAGCGAACTGTGATGTAAGTATACGCGTAAACGAATCTACACATGTATATAGCGCAGTGCCAATCATCCTCTTGCCGTCATCCTACCTAGGTGGGGTGTAGGGTCAGCACAAAACGTGAATCATGTGAGCTGTTTTGACCGCCCTTTACGACCGGCCTGCCTTACATCAAACATCCTTAGGGAACGCAGAACCATTGTAATTTTAATTATTCGAGGATAACTTATGAAAATTATACTAAACATTTTTATGATTATTGAGAAGTAGCGTCAGACATGTGTTCATTTATTGTCGTGGTTGTAACGACACGCTGTATAAAGTCAAGACACTAGGAAAACATTATGTTCTTCACACAATATTTTTCCAGTAGTGGTGATCTAACCCACAACCTTTGGCATAGGAGTCATGTACACTACCCACTTCAACATTCGCTAATAGATGAAAACAACAACACCAAGAAATATTTTTGGTGTGCATACTGTATAAGTCCTAAGAACACTCCGGATACAAGATAATAAAGAGATTTTAATTAGGTAAACAAAATAAAATAGTGGAAATATTTCATAAGCACAACTGATTGCCTATTTTTTCTCTAGTAAATCCATATAGGCACAATCCAACAAGTCCTCATCTGTAACGCCTAGTTTGCTTTGCAAGTCTCTAGCTATTTTCTGGCCTTCTTCCAATGTTTGTTTGTTATCTAAGACCACTTCCAATTCCATGAAGCTGCCTAAACCTTGTACAGTGTCAATGTGAACTCGAGTTTGCCCCACCAAATAAAATTTGCTGAAACAAATTAACTTTGAATTAGATTTTGGTAAAACAATTACATAGTACATAGTAAATATTAAAGAGAGCCGGCATTTATTTCACAAGAAAGCATAACACTTAACTATCGTCGAGCACTACTAATAGATATATTAGTACTTGAATTTTTCTGATAGATTTACAAGTAAATTTAATAAATTCTAATAATTATACTTTCTATTATCAGTTCTTAATAAGCATATTTTGCAAAATAAGTGAGTTATGTTGTGACAAAAATTAATAAAATATATTACTATTATTAAAATACAATACATAAAAATAAAAAAATTCATTTTCAAACTTCAATCAGTGGCCAGTTATCCTAGTGGTTTTCATTAACATAACAATCATTGTACACTCAAAAATTACTTAAATTTTCTTTTACGTGACTTCTTCTTCTTCTTTCCTTTATGGCGCTTTTATGGATTCGCCAATGACATATGAAAGATGTTTTATCAGTTTAAAGCTTAGATAGTGAATATTTAAGAGAAGAAAATTTACTTTGCGAAAAGAGAGGAGATTGTGATATTTTAGGCACGAAATAGAAATAAATTTTGATAATACTACTCTGTTGAATTACCTAAAACAAAAGACAAACAATTATGTTAAAACAAATATAATTAGTGTGTTAATATTGACATACACTTATAGCTTAATGTTATTAGCGTTAATAAAATCACACAGAATATAAACAAAAGAGGTGTTTGTATAGATAGGGAGTTGAAGTCTATAGGACGCGGGATATAAGGGGGGAGGAGGTCATAGAGGGAATTGGATAACTTAGGACAGTCGAAGAAAATATAATTTGTATTTCCCTCGTCTAAACCACATTTGCATAGTGAATTATCCCTAATCCTGATCTTGGCGAGATGGACGTATGTACATGCATGACCTAACCTTAAGCGACAGACAATTGAGGTTGAGCGCTTGCTAGCTTTATTAAATTTAGAAAACCAGGGTTTACTTGGGATAATACTTTGTATGGAGGCATAATGTTTACCCGTTGAAATTTGTGAAACTTCCCACAAGCCCTTCCATTTATTAACTAGCAATTTCCTAGCGAGTGATACTATAGAATACAATAGAAAACAATTAATAATAGTTAATATACAATAGAATCATGAGAATAAGTCATGGCTAATGGAATACCATTAGATATTGCATCCTTAGCACATGTGTCAGCTGTTTCATTTCCATGAATCCCACTATGGCCAGGTATCCATGCCAAAGTGACATGGATTCCTTTCGTAAAACATCTAAAAAGAACATTTTTAATTTTTAAAATTAAGGGGATTTTAAATTTACTATGAAATTGGTTAAATAGAATAGCCTGTAAACAACTTTTGGAATCAGTGAGAATAATAGTCCTCAATCAATGAGAGAGATAAGTAATAATCAGTGAGAATAATAGTCCTGTGAAGGTTATGTGACTCTATATATGTTAATGCTTCATAAATAGCTGTTGCCTCAACAGTGAAAATGGAACATAAAGGGGGACAACTATATTTTAAAATGATTTTAAACTTGGGTATCCAGACTGATGCACATATACAGAGATCATCTGAAATTTTGGAAGCATCCGTATAGACTACAAGCCAGTCTAGCCATGATTGATCTAATAACCTTTTCAATTTTAAATTTGCCATAGGATCATTTTTTTCAATGTTGAGGTCCAAGTGGACATCAGGTTGATGAATAACAGCTTCATAAGGAGTATCAAATAAGGGGTTGACTTTGCAAGAAAAAATATCACCAGGAATTTGAAGAACTGAAACAAAACTCTTAACCAAACATGGCAAATCTTTGTGGACCCAGTAATCACTTGTAGACACAAATTCCGATAGGATGTGTAATTTGGGGATAATTGGATGGCATGAAAGCTGATATAGTTTAAAGAGGAATCTATCAGAAAGGTACTGTCTCCTTAAGTAGAGTGGTGGTTCAACACACTCCACTTGAAGGACATTAATTGGAGAAGTTTTCATTGCTCCTGTGATGATACAGAGGCATTTGTACTGAATCTTATCTAAAATTTTGAGGGATGATTTACTGCATGGCTCCATGAGGAAAGAACCGTAATCTATATGGCTACGGATAAGAGCATTATATAATAATCTCTGGGAATATGGATGGGAACCCCACCATACACCAGAAAGGGATCAAATGATATTAATATTTTTCTCACATTTTTTAGAGTTGTAATCTATATGATGAGTAAAGGATCAAAAACTTTCTATCCAAAACTATGCCTAAAAATTTCACCTTGTCTCTATCGGGGATAGGGTGGCCATCATAAGTGATTAAGATATCAGGTACTCTCTTATGGCGGCAAAAGATTACTATACTGCTCTTTAAGGCAGACAAACATAGACCATCGTCAGTTAGCCACTCTTGAAGATATAGCATGGAAGAATTTAGAAGGGTACAGGCTTTAGAAAGGTTATCTATTGGTAGGTACATGGCTAGGTCATGTGCATATTGGAGGACATTACAAAATGAATTAACAGATAGTTCTAAATCATAAGTGTAAATAGTATAGAGAAGAGGGCTGAGGACTGATCCTTGGGGAAGACCTTTCCAAATATGTCTAGGCGACAACATAGAATTTTTAATATTTATATGGATTAATCTAGAAGAGAGAAAATTACAAACAAAATTTACAATCCTCACAGGAATACTCAGCTTTAGCATTTTCTGCCTGAGCACTGGAAGAAGTACATTATCATATGCAGATGAAATATCAAGGATTATACCTACAAGATAGTTATGTTTAGATAGAGCTATTCTGATGTCTGTAATTAATGTACTGAGGCTGTCCATAGTACTAAGGCCTTTTCTGAATCCAAATTGACTTCTTGGTAAAACATCTTTGCTTTCTAGAAACCATTCTAAGCGATTTTTAATCAGGTGTTCCAGGATCTTTGCCATGGTACATGACAGAGCAATAGGTCTATATGCTGATGGATCATGACTAGGCTTTCCTGGTTTAAGAATGGGTAAAATGATTTGCTCTTTCCATTCTTTAGGTGGGACACCAGAAATAAATATGTTATTTAAAATATTAAGGAAAAGGGTTTTAGTATTTTCACTACTGTTAACAATAAAGGAGTAAGGGATACCATCAATCCCCGGAGAAGAGTCTTTAAGGCCCTGGAGTACAGTAGCTAATTCCTGGTAAGAAAAGGGAAGGTCAAATTTATCATGGAATTGAATGGAAGAGGAATGATATGTGATACACTCTTCATATGAAGGAGCTGATAGAGGAGCAAGTTTATGGGAAAATTCTTCAGCCCAAAGTGAATAGTCATTAGAAGTTATATTATGATCATCTGACATAGCACATTTGAATTTTCTTATACTTTTCCATACAAGAGAGAGAGGTGTGCAAGGTGATACTGAAGAACAAAATCTATACCATCCTGACCGCTTCTTTTCAGATAATAGTTTTACAGTTTGAGCAGCTGTTTTCTTATATGAAATATAGTTTTCCCTTGTCATTGAGGATGAATATTGTTGTTCAGCTTCCTTTCTTTTTTTACATGCTGCAGAACAGTCCTGGTCCCACCAAGGGGGAGATGGAAGATTTTTTGTTCTAGGTTTTTTAATAGGAATAGTCAGGTCAGCAGAAGATAGAATAGCATTTCGAAATTTATTGTAGACTAGAAGGACATTCTCAATATGTAGTTGAGGGAAATTTAATATCTTTTGGTCCAGTACAGAAGCATATTCCGGCCAGTTTGCCTTAGATATGTTATATTTTAATCTGGGATTAAATTGATTTTGAACTCTTGTAGGTACAGAGGAAGAGATTATGATAGGGAAGTGATCACTACCATGAGAAAAAGGAAGTACAGTCCATGACAGACAGGAAACTAGATCAGGAGAGCAGAGAGATAAATCCACAACACTCTTTATATTTTGGGATGGGGGGACACGGCGAGTTGGTGACCCATCATTAAGGATGCAAAGATTAAAGTCATCGATGATTTCTAAAAACGGAGATGACATAGAATCACAGAAATGGGAGCCCCACGCCGAATGGTGAATGTTAAAATCTCCCAGGATAGGTGGAGATAATAAAGTTATGAAATTAACAAGCTCAGACAAAACAGAAACATTAGTTGGATAAAAACGAAATATTGAGAGCCTTGATTGCAACACCGTTAATGCTATCACTATGGGGAGGTATAGGTATGGAAGAAAATGGGATTTCTCTAGAAATTAATATAGAAGTACCAGCGTGTCCATCTCTTGTCATCCCGGAGACATGTATAACCCGAAACCCTAAAATGGGAATCAGGTCTTAGTCACATCTCCTGGACAGCCAGAATGAGAGGCTTAAACTTATTTATAAGATGGATGAGTTCATTTTTCTTATGGTCAATGCTGCGACAGTTCCACTGAAGAATTGTTGGGAATGTTATTTGTAAGAGAGAAAAGCTCAGTAAGTTTTTTGTGTAAGTTTGGGGAAAGTTCAGTATCAGTGAAGCGAGAGATCATACTAATTAACATAGAAATAATGAGTTCTAAAAAATTATCATTATGGGAAATGTTGCCATTTCCAGCAAGGGCACAGCCATGAGGAAGAGAGGAGGAGGGAGTTTGGATAATAGCTTGATGAGCTGCTTTATCGTAACCTTGATTTTGGTGTTGTCTAAAAGGATGACGAGGGATAGTTATTGTTTTTTTATAGGATGAAGTTACAGGTGAATGGGGAGATGGTAAGAAAGGATTAGTGGTATCAGAATAAGGGGATTGGTGATTAGATTCCAAGGGCAGACTTCTTGCAGAATCTGCAAATGATCTTCTGACCTGAGGGAATCTGGCTGAAGCTTCTAGATAGGAAATACTCTCTTGTGACATTACAAGTTTTATTGACTTTTGCCTGGAATGCTCTGGACAAGACGAATCTTTTGCACAATGGGAGCCGGAGCAAAATAAACATGTTGGAGATTGTTTTGTACAGGAAATCCCTTCATGGTTCTGAGCACAAATGAAACAGCGCGGTGTAGACCTGCACTGTGAAGTTACATGGCCAAATCTACAACATTTCAGGCATTGAATTAATGGTAATATATAGGTTTCGACGGGTAATGATGTAAAAAAAACAATAAATGTGAGGAGGGAGTTTTTGGCCTGAAAATGTCAGAACCACAGTTTGAGTGGGGACCCAGTTAGGACTATTATTTTCATTCTGAGTTCTTCTATTTAATCTTCTAGCTTTAATAATAGGGCCATAGCCTTGAGGAACCTTAATGCAAGAGATGAGGTCTTCTAGAGTCCATTCTATTGGGACTTGCCGAACTATACCAATTCTGGTCACATTATATGAAGGGATAACTGCTTCATATTTAGCTGCAGGAAGGGCTGGATGATCAATAAAAATGTTAGCTGCAGCAGCAGATTTAAATTCGACGGAGATTCTATTGCGTCCAACTCGCTTTACTCCATCGCAAACTATGTTTTTGATATTATTGTGGAATAGGAAATGTCCGAATTTTATTGGTTTTAGAGCTGTTCCTGATGTTAATTCATTAGTAACTTTACTTACATGGACAAGGAACGGAGCAGTATCTTCGTCGGTATATTTGTTTTTTTTATTTACAAAATAGGGATGTATAAAAGATGATTGAATGGAGGGAAAGGGTTGAAGAGGATTAGCATTATTTATTTTCTGCGGATGTATAGGATTTATTGTTTTTGGGCGTTTTCGACTACTTTGTGTAACACTCGTTTCCATAAAAGACGGAGATGATGAAGGAATCTGAGTGACATCCCCATCAGGATCGGGAGGATCCTCCTCCATCGTACTTGCATTTAAGACGGCACAACTAACTAACACTTACTACTGATAAATTGATTAAATCACCACCAAAACGTTAATTATTTTACAAAGTAAATCAACAGCAGCACTTCACAAGTTTAAAAAATGGAATAATGAAAATGAAATAAACAGCACTTATATCACTCACTTAACCTCTCTCCGCTCAACGTGACTTTAGTTTTGTACAAAATAGAGAAGTTAAGATTAATGAGGGTATCTTTTTAAAATATAGTTCTGAGGTAGCTAATGCAGATGCATTCTAAGAAACATCTTACCGTTCTTTTAAGACGCGGCCTCGAACTCCCAAACATTTTTGCAACATTTCATCAAGTAACTTAGCTCTATCAGTTTCACTTGCAGGGAACTCTAATAGTTCGTAATCACTCAGTTTAGGTCCACCTTTATCATCACGGCTGTATCGCACTAAAACGGCCGATGAATCTGGGAAACGTCGCATTTTCAAGCGACCGTCATTTACTTTATAAAATATGTCATCCTGATGAATCACAGTGCTTGGGCCACCGCTTAACTCTTCGGCGATCTTGCAAATCTGTTCCACATCATTCACTTTTGCTTTGATTTCAACGTTACGCATTACTAAATAATTATTAGCCTAAGGTAATTCGATGTGCTGTATATTACTAATTATTAAGCTTGATTTTTTATTGAAGTTTCTGAAGTGTCTATTATGATCAATTATCCTTAACCAATTTACATTGACCTCTGTTAACCGTTTATCAAAAACACCTTAGCTTGTAGCCTGCAAATAAACAAAAAACAAATAATTATAATTATATTAGAAAATTTGAAATGTTAGAAGCGGGAAGCGGGAAAATCTTAAGTGACAGATTAAGCGGTTAGGAGTAAAGTAGTTTGACCAGTGACCACAGAACACTTACTCAAGACTAGGGATGGGCATATATACTGGAACAGGTATAAATACCCAGTATGAACATACCAGTACGCACACCGGGTATGTACGGCAGAGGCAGGGGCGGGAAACTCCTATACAAAGCCGATCGAGTATTTTTTGTAGCGACATCTTTCTTATACGATCTTGAAACAAATGTTATGTTTTCTTTTTTTTTAACTAGAGGTCACTATATACAAGTGATATAGTTGTAATACAATGTTATAAACTAGAAAAAAGGTGAAAAAAAAAAATGTCACCTAACAATTTTAAAATGTCCAAATGTTTGATGTTTTTTAATTCCGTGTGTGCATTTATTAATAAATCTTTGTTGTTCTGCATTTCTGTTTGTGGCAGTACGAATTGCAAATTTCTTCGAATTGAGTAAAAGTGTGTTTAGGGTGGAGTTGAAGATTTCTCCGCTAAACTTACGACGGCTTGTTTTTTACAATGTCTTGGACGCCATTAATTAATTTTTGCGATATTTTGGAAGCTATTAGTCAGGTAAGTTTTGTGTTGTAACTTTGCCTATTTCTAAACATTGTGTATTTGGATGTGTGAGCACGGGTAATTTTCATATTCCATTTTGTATAGACTACTTATAATGTTATTTTTTTACCACATCAGATGTATGTAAAATTGATTGCATACGCGCAATACATGTATTCTTTGTGTATTCCTGTTAATCCTATCATTACTTGGTTAATATAAAAAGCAAATAAAGAAAAAGTAAAGTTATTTCAAATATATAACATAAATTTATGGTGCTGTAAACCCATAAATTGGTTAAGGTAATGTTAAGGTTTTTGTTATAAATTGTTTATATTTGGTTGTTGTGGTATGGTTATTCCCCTATTATAAAAACCTAATATACATACGAGGTTTCCTAATAGCCTTAACTTTGTAGCCTAACATTAATTAGACATTACTGAAATAAATAGGTACAACTAATATAAGTTAATATAACTTTCTGGTTTATTTTCAGGTGTACCTGTTCAAAACTTTCCAAATCATTTGCAAAAAATGGGTTGAGCTAGCAGGTAAATCTTTTAGAGGTATGATAGATGAACAGATCCATGAGATCAAGAAAATTTGTGATAAATGCTTCAATGAAAATGTAAAAAACTACTACAAACATCTCAATTAACTGTAAAGTAATATGAAAAATACATACACTGCACCTATGAAGTAAGTATTAATTTAACAAATGTATGCATAGATTCCTAAATTAAATATGAATTATAAATTAGCTATGATATAATAATAAAAAATATATAGCCTTGATAGTTGTATCAGGGCACTTGCTTTTAATTCAATATTGGCTTGAGCAACCAGAGTCCAAATCCCGGTGCTGGCATTAATGAAATTTTTGATTTTAAGTGTTGATTAATGATGTATTACATGCTCAGTGGTGAAGAAAAACTTAAAAATATTTCGAAGGTGTGTTAAGTCCACCAATTCGCAATGTATATGCCTTATATACCTTAAGGAATCATAAAGAATTGTTTACAATAGCAAACGAAGTCAATAACAGGCCAAAAAGGAACCAACATAGACTAGTGCTAAAAGACACCCCTAGATCTGCAAAGTATACATACCAACTAACTGCACTACCCACAACAGGTAAAAATTATATTTTTTATTTTGAAAGAAAATCCACAGTATTTATAAATATTACTTACTAAAACTTGAAGCCAATTTGGATTTACATTCTTTAGCTATAGTAAAAATATAGTGTATAGTAAAAAGCAAATAACTTTTAATACTTAAAGACGGGCAGAAGAGAAGGTAAAAATAATTTTTAACTATTGGTTTTAGCACTTACAAGAAGCTTTGTGTATGGCTACTCCAAACTATTAAGTTTATTCAACATTATTCTTAATTGATTCGATTGTGTTGTTGACATGAAAAGACGAAGAATTATGTATATAATAATACAATGTGATCTTATTTTAAATCTCTCATAACTCTTTTAACGGTGGTAGGGCCACGCAACAGTGTTGCACGAATGGGCAAGTCCGGCTGAGTAAGTACCACGACCTCACAGAAGACCGGCGTAAAGTAGAAGTTTTGCACTTCTCTGTTTCGTCTGCTGAGTGAGGTAGCCGGGGCCCACATTATTAAGAGGAGGCAACGCATCTGCGGATTTTGCAAATGTCCATGGGTAGGCGGTTATCACTTAACATCAGGTGAGCCAGCTCGTTTGCCACTTCCTCACATAAAACTCTAATGCCAAAGAAATGTTGTAAATCATTATGCGGACGCACTAAGAGTATCGGTGCCTTTAATAGTATCGATCCCAAAAAAATTATTCAATCATTACTAACAGTAATAAACTTGTATTTTTTTTTTAAATTGCTACTTAAAACTTTTTCTACTTATTAACCAAATTAGCAAATCACTGATATTGCGGACGATGGTAAGTGTCATGCTTGCTGCAGCAAAAGTCATATTCCATGCCGCACTGTATTTAAAACTTAATAATTCGAAATCCTGTGTGGCAATCCACTTTGCTCATCATTCTTAGTTATCAGATTAATAACAGGCAAAAGTACGGTATTTTCTTAGATCAACTGTGCAAAACTGTTTTCTACCACTACATTTCATTACCACTATAAATTTGTATTATATTAATTACACTTATATTTTTCAGAAACACCTACTGTTTTAGATGCCCATATGGATAACCCTCAATATGATATATATTTATACAGTCCAACTTCGGGTTGCAGGTAAAAATCAAGTTATAATTCATAATGTAGACATAATACAATGTCAGGAATAATTAATGCTTAAACAGAAAGCAAATAAATAGACTAAACATTCAATTTTCATCAGAAAACAAATGATTAAAAAAAAAAAAACAAAAGAAACTTTCTATAAAATGTACACTTTTTGCTAAATGCTCCTTTTAAGATGTGCTCATGTTGTAAAATACAAATATTGAAAATTGCCTGTAAAGATAAAGTAATATAAGTAATATGAAATAAAAAATTAAATAAATTTAAATAAGTATAAGTGATAATATAAAGTAAAGTGGGGTGTAATTTTTTTGCCCGGTGCACATCAGCGACGGAACCAGTAATGCTTAGATCCCAAATTTATAGAAGCCAACATATTACTACCATTAATGCAATGAGCAAATTACTGATATAATGATAAGCGCAAGGCTTGCTGGAACAAAAATCATTTTTCTCGCTACCCTTATGCATTTAAAACTTCAATATTTCAAAATTATGTGCGGTAATTCACTTTGCTCATCATTTTGAGATAGTATATAATTGACAGGTATTTCCTTAGACAAATTGTGCAAAAATATTGTTTTCACAACTAAATTTCATTATCATTATAGATATTTAGGTAATTAATGAAACTTTATTATTTTCAGAAACACCTACCGTTATGGATGTCCATGGTTTACATTCCAACTACCGGTTGCAGGTAAAATTAATATATACAGTAAATTAAACAGGAGTGTCTGTTTGTAATATTAAAATAACCGCTTTTTACTAAATGCATGTGGATGTTGACATTTTTTACAATTTTTGTTCCAGTTAATCTCTGAAACGGCTGGGCCGATTTTGACGGAACTTTCAGTTGCAGATAGCTGCTAGGAGTAACTTAGGCTACTTTTATTTTACAAATTTTAATTTATTTATTTTAAATTCCATGCGGACGAAGTCATGGGCACAGCTAGTTTATAATTTAACAGTTATATAACAGGAAAACTCTATGCTAATACAAAAATCATGTAAAATTTATCATCCTTTAAATCTTATCCTTTAAACGAGCAATTCTTGTATATATATATATATCGTACCTGGAGGACCGAGCTTTGCTCGGTTTGTTTTTTTTTTGGTAAATAGTGTATTTTGGAAATTGCTTTTAGATACAAATTACTGAGTAATGAAATATGCATAATATTTTTCGATCTTACCGACGAAATAATAAGAAAATATGAACTGGTGTTTCTCACAAAAGAAAGAACTTTAAAAAATAAGGGAAAAAAAATAACAAAATAACAAATCGACAAAAATAAAAAATAAAGAAAGCAATGATCTGGTACTGAAAAAAAGTAATAAAAAGTAAGTGTGTGAATAAAAGTAAGTAAATGATCGTGATACGAACCGCGGCCGTCTGTTTTGGGGTCGCCCGATTACCGACCGAGCTATTATAACATTTTTTTTGTGGTAAAATTTACCGTCATATTCGAATGATATTTTTCAATCCCCGAAAACAGGGATAAAAGAAAATTTTCTAAAAATGTTACCTAGAGATTTCGGGGGAATATACATATATACATATATATATATATATATATACAATATATATAATATACATATATATACATATATATATATACATATACAATATATATACGATAATAATAAGAAATATATATATATATATGTATATTTTTTTTATTTCCAAAATACATGATGTTTCCTCCGGGTACTTTTCAATAAAATGTGCACAAGTGACAGAAGTTAGAGATCTTGAGGCAAGCTGTGAGACCACCAACAAGTTGGGCAGTTATGATAAGGATATGCTATTAAACCAAGGCAGTTATGAATAATAATATTAAAAATTGTATTAGGATAACTTGACATGAGAATATGAACCTCTTTTAATATTCTCATAACTCATGTGATAAAAACAGTAATGCTGTTATTATGCTAAATATGTGAGATGTGTATGAGACTACTAATTACATTAACCATACAGATGTTATTAGTAGTGCTGAATCCATATATTATATTGAACATACAGTTGACATAAACATTAAATTAACGACTCTTCTGGTAGAACTAATTTGGAAAACAATATAATCCACACAAAAATATTTTCATAATAAGTAAATAATAAGGTAATTTATATTTATATGTTACAGGTACAAAGAAAGTAACAACTTAAAGCAAAAAATTACAAAATTAAGAAGTAAAATTAGTAGATTAAGAAAAAGAAGTAAGAATTACAAAAAGAAACAGCAAATACCCAGAAAATATATTGAAAACGATGAAGAACACGAGTGTTTCAGCTAAAATGTATATTCAAAAATAAGAAACACTAAAATATCCAAAGGGACCGGCGGAAATGATGTTTGGACGGTACAACAATGAATATTATTTTGTAAAGTCGGTACCGATCGATCAATCTCATTTAATGTGGGAAATAGTTGTAAGATCAGTGTAAAAATGTTATTTTAACAATCATAGATAAAAGCAAGAAATAAATAACATTGTTTTACTTTCACATGTAATTGCTACTTCATACTTAATATACTTTAAGTTCTTCATAATTATAAACGTATATCTATTAATGTAGCTATATGTTTTATTTATATAATAGTTACATTTAATAAGTTCACAATTTCGTGATGAATGCCTTATCAGTATGGCGTATATGCGAGAATTATCGTAATATGCGAGACGGCTCTCTATTTCTGTAGTATTACTTTACTCTATGGGCAGAGGCCCGTTCCATACCCGATAGGTATGGCCGCCTCGTCCGACGGTGGCGGTATATAACGCTCGCGACAACCCGCCGGCCGAATAGGTACGAAGTTCCCCGAACGCTTACGGCGGCTCTTCCCGATCATGCCCGAATTGAAACGTATGATTTAGGCATTTTATACCAAATAATTCCTTGAGATAAATTTATTCTTTATTTCTATGACCATAAGTTAAATAAATAATTGCGTAATAAGGTTAAACAGTAATATTTATTTTGAATTACTTTTTTTTGATAATAGGGTTCTTTACGTTAGTAAAGATGGAGCTTATTTTAGACTGATTAAATCTCAATTTAAAAAAACTGATTGCTAAAAAAACATCTAAATGTTCCAATTCCAACCTAAGAAAGGTTCAATTGCATACCGGGTCTCCAAAAGGAGGCCTGAACATAACTAATACCTATAGGTATTTTGATACTGGGTTTTAGCACCGGGTATACGGCGATACCCGTACCTTTGAGGCCGGGTATAGAATGTTGCAGGTATATCTCATGCCTACTCGAGACTGAGTTCGACTTTGAATATTAATCGAATTATTTTTGTTTAAAGTTTGGTTTTGACCTTAAAGTACCTTTAAAAATCTATTTTGACCATCGGCGGAAAATATAATTTTTTATTAATACAAAAACAAAAATATCGATAGATTGACATTTTTTTCGGCATCCCTAAGACAGGGTTGCCAGTTTAGGGTTTCCCCCAAATTTAGGGGTAAACAAACGCGTTGGGATTTTTATAGTCTTCATATTTTTAGGGATTTTTTGACTTCTAATATTCTTTTCCTATACTTCCGATAGAAAACATATTGTTATTTTCTTTCATTAAAGAAATATAAAGGTATAAAAACAAATGAGTGTGCTTTAGACCATATGACTGAAGTTAGCTTAATTTTCATGTATGCATATAACAAGTACCTTTGAAATTGTTGCTCTTCAATAATGGTCATTTCAAACAAAAAAAAAACCTGTGGCGCTCGGGGACTGCCGCGGTAAAGCTGTTGGATAGCATTTTTTATCAATTTAAATAAATAAAATAAAATAAAAATAGCCTTCATTTATTTACTACTTTTTTCGCTATATATCTTATTAATAAGGCTTTCGTGTAGTCTATAAAACACATATACAACGTTTTTCTATATTCTTTGGCTTTTTCTATTAATTGTGTTATGACTTGTATATGGTCTATTGTCGAGTATCCTTTGCGAAGACTTTTATCGACTTATGCAATTATAATAAGTTATTTTTTTTCTTTGATTTTAATTCAAGTTAAACTTTTTGAGCGTGGCGATAAGAAAACAATTTTTTTCTTTTATTGAATAAATGAGAAGTTAATATCGTTTAAAATATTTTATTATCTTACAATACATGTAGGTTATTCAGGATTTTGTATCATTGAAACTATAGGTTTATGGTAACTGAAATAAGAAACATAAATTTGAGACTTGATGTCCTCTAAATATCATATCATCATATGATAATATAATATAATAATATCATGTCATAATATCCATCCGTGCGAGCTTCATACCGACGTACCATATACATACACGTTAAGGAACGCTTGGCCGAGCTACATGGTATGCGGAGTGGGGTGTCTATGCCATTTTATTTAAAATATCAATTTATAAAAAGTATATAAATAATTAAGTTTCACAATTGCATTATAACGCACATACCACTCATTACTGGAAATATTATTCTTATCCGCCCATATCCCTCCCATTCCGCTTCCTATAAAAACACGAAGAAATGAAGACTGACCTCAATATCAGTCCCTCTGCCACGCGTAATAATGGCAGAGTCGAACCGCGATCAATTAACGTAGCATTCTACAACGCAAACGGGCTTAAAGAGCAACGCAACGAAATACTCATTTTTCTGCGCGATCACCAAATCGACGTACTTTTAATTCAGGAAACGTTCCTGAAACCCGCGAAAAGCATCAAAAAAAGATCTTGCCGGCGCCCCGGGTGCCGGTACACTAATTTACTATAAAAAACCCACCATTCGTCCGCCTCCGTCTGTCAGCTGGCATTAACCGACCACTCTCCTATCACTATAGCATCAGTATACCTCGCTTGTAGACCAAACGTAACAGTGTTACACTCAAATTTCGAGGCCCTCTTCTCAGGAGGAGCCACCATCCTAGCAGGCGACTTCTATAGCAAGCACACTCAATGGAACTCGACACGTACCACATACCACGTAACAGTCGAGGCACCGCACTCGACTCGTTATCACTATCGAAAGGATCAAATAACTACGCAAACGGCGAGTGCGGCAAACATATACTAGGTTCCGCCACGTACCTGGCAGGTTTTCCCCAATTAATGATAGAAGCGTTGCTGGAGATTCTTCCGCCACTTCTTCTCCCAGCGCCACCTTTTTACCAAGTGGTAGTAATGATAGTTCTAGAAATTCCCCCAGCCAGATAACAGCTACCGATCGAGCCGAGGTCCGCGATTCGAATCGTGGAGGGAATGCTAAACGCGTTTTGAGTGACAGCCCAAGCCGAGGTCCTCTCTCGGGAACCCTTGAGCCTAGTCACTGCATGGAGCGTCCGCCAAAGCGCCCTAAGAGCTTGGCGGCCTCCCAAATTGGTGAAACTAACAGCGTGATGGCTCGAACCGAGGCTCCCTCGGGAGCCCCCGAGCTTAGTCACCATAACGCGTAATAATAATACGCCGAAGTTCAGGCTGGGCTCCCCGAGCACCCGGCCACCTCAAGCCCGTCGGATCTGTAAAGACCCCTTAGGACAACAGTGGCTCATCCAGCCAAAAAAAAGATTGAACTATTTCTCAACGCTCGCACCTCACGCATAAAAACTTCAATCACCACAGCGCTGTGGTGAATAAGCTAGTTTCTTAAACTCAAAAATTAATAGCAGTGTTGTGGGAAAATATCAGTGACTGCCGTTCAAACTGAGATATCGAAGGACAACTCCAACTCCAGCTTCCAGGTATATAACTTTTCCTAAAGGGGGTGTTAGGTTTTATTTTCGTAACGGAATTTCTTGATTAGGTCGCCGCGCTTAAAGCCCGCGATAAAAGCTAT